TCACCCGGTCGACACGAATATCTCAGAACGCATCGGCCCCAACTTCTTACCTGATTCAAAAGATGGTGACGAAGCAGCCTATTCCGGGAATGAAAATTCCCCTCGACACACACCCACGGGATTTCAAATCCTCGCCTTATGGGTCTCCATCCAGCACCCGCCGCCGCCATCTCTGCGCGAGCCAACGACTCTGTCGCAGGCTCTGGGGGGGGAACATAAGGCGAAATGGAAGGAGGCAATGGAAAAGGAACTGAAAGCTCTGCAAGACCGAAACACATGGAAGCTGGGACCTGCAACGAACGTCAACGGGGAGAACGTTCTCTCGGGAAAATGGGTGTACCGCATCAAGACCAATGCGGACGGCTCCATCGAACGATTCAAGGCTTGCTGGGTCGTACGAGGATTTGATCAACGATACGGAACCGACTACACAGAAACATTCGCCCCAGTCTCTCGTCACACCTCCTTGCGCATCCTACTCGCCGTCGCGGCCACAAATAAACTACCACTGCGCCAGATCGACGTCGCAAATGCCTTCCTGTATGCACCTGTGGACGCCGAAATCTTCGTCGAGCAGCCCCACGGATTCATCGACGACCCCACAAAAGTATGCCAGCTGATAAAATCCCTTTACGGGATCAAGCAAGCCCCGCGGCTCTGGCAGCAGCATCTTCACGGTCGCCTCGTCAGAATCGGATTCCTACAGCTGCCGCATGACCAAGGCATGTACCGACTGCAGAAGGGAAGAGAGTATATCCTACTCATCGTTTACGTTGACGACCTGCTCTACATCGGTTCCACTACCGACATCGCCACCTGGTTCGAAGGGGAGCTGAAAGGGGACTTGACACTCACGGTGTCCGACACAGTGACCCAGTACCTGGGTCTGAATGTCGTCGAAGACAACTCGGCGTTCTACCTATACGCTGGAAAGTACGCAGGCGTTGTCGCAAAGAAGTTCGGACTAACACCAACTATAGTCACGACTCCCTACCGCTACGGAAACAACAACGACACCTCCGTAGTGGGACATGTGATACAGACGCGGGAGTGCGGGGTGACCTAGGCGGTGGTGCCACAGCAGCGACGGGTGAGTAAGCGACCGACACGAGCAAGGCGCAGCGACCTCGGTCGACGCAGGCACCTGGGAGGATGCCCTCACCAGGGGGGACACAGTGTCAAGCATAAACAGGCCAGACACAGGGTCTCAAGGGAACGTGGTCAGAGGGGCACCAGTGGCGGCCTCGGTAAAGACCGCGTACCACTCATGTCCGGGAAACGTAGTGGTGACGCTGAGGTCCTGAAGATAGCCGACACCGACTAGGTTACTGGAGAACAAGGGGATGTGCGGGCCAGTAAGAGAACCCGAGGGGACCGCCGGACAGGAAAGGGTGGTGGAGCTACGGGCAACTACCGGACCTGAGGAGGGGTCAGCAAGCACAACAGCGACAGGGGCGGCAAGCGGAGTGAGCGCAGTGTGGTCGCGGAAGAAGTAGGCAGACGCTCCAAAGTCGAGCGAAAGGGAGAGCGATGCAGTAGCGTCAGCCAGCAGAGGGGCTAGCATGGAGCCTAGGCTAAACAATGCACGGGGTCCTACGCCTCACGCAGTAGGGGAACCTAGACCACACACAGGGGACACACCGACGCTACGCAACACCGGGCATACATAGCAGACCTAATCTAATCCATATCCATTTCAAAGACAGGCACACGACGACGCACCAGGCTGTACCAGTCGGGGGGATCGGCCGTGGGGCCGAAGCGGTGATGGAAGAGGTCGTCGAGGCGGCAGTAACAGCGCGCAGCGGTGTGACTTGGACGGTCACAGACGGTGCCGCGGCGGGGGCCGGACTGAAGCTGGTACTGGCAGGTGACCACACTGCAGCTGCCACCCGACACCGAGTTGCGCGACCCACCACCATGGCCACCACCACCACAGCCGCCAGGCCACCACGGCGGCGGGGGTCCCCACTGCTGCTGCTGCTGCTGCTGCTGTTGCGACTTTTTCTGTGGCGGCTATTGCTGCTGCTGCCGCTGCTCTTGTTCCGGGGCATCAGCCCCGGTCCCCTCGTCTGCACCACCGTCACCGGCACCACAGCCTCCGCCTCCGCCACTCCCACCACCCCCGCCACCCTTCCCTCCGCCACGCCCCCCCTTGGGGCGGTGGCCCTTACCCTGATGCGGCTGCGCTGAGGCCGCGGCAGCGGTTTCAGCAGCAGGGGCTATCTCAGTGACAGCGGCAGAGACGTCTGAGTAAGTGCACTGGGAGGGAGCACAGCCCTGGAAGATGGGGGCCGCCGCAGTTCTGCTAGACTGAACGATAGTGCGCTGTCGGGTCTCTATCGTGGACAGGGCTGTGACGAAGGCAGTAAGGGTGAGGTCATCTGGGTGCCGACTAAGGAAGTGGTCGCGGGCAAGGCGGTCAAGGAGGTGCGTGACCATGAGGTACAGGGTAGCGCAAAGCGGCGGCGGGAACGCAAGGAGCTGGGCCTCGGTGCTAGCAGCGCAGTAGCTAGTCTCAAGGGCGCGCTGATGAGCAGCCAGGTCAACGACTTAAGTGACGGCGGCACTGCAGCTCGGCGGCTGGACGGTGGGGGGCCGGCGCAGGCTGGGGCCGGCGGAGCTGGTGCCGGCGTATCCGGGGTCGGTGGAGCTGGGGGCCGGCGAGCTTGGGGCCGTCTAGCTGGGGACCGGCAAGGTAGGAGCCGGCAAGCGTGGGGCTAGCGAGCGCGGGGCCAGCGAGCTAGGGGCCAGCGAGCGCGGGGCTGGGGGGCGCGGGTCGAGCGAGCGCCGGGCCGGCAAACGCAGGGCCAGCGGGCGCGAGGCTGGCGAGCGCGGGGCCAGCAAGCGCGGGGGTTGACGAGCACGGGGCTGGCGGGTACGGGGCCAGCGTGCACGGGGCTGGCGAGCGCGAGTCCAGCGAGTGCAGTGCCAGGAAGCGCGGGGCTGGTGAGCGTGGGGCCGGCGAGCGCGGGGCCAGCGGGTGCGGGGCTGGCGAGCATGGGGCGAGAAAGCGCGGGGCTAGTGAGCGTGGGGCTGGCGAGCGCGGGGCCAGTGAGAACAGGGCCAGCGGGTGCGGAACTGGTGAGCGCGGGGCTAGCGAGTAGGGGCCGGCGAGCGGCTGGCGGCTACGAGCTCCTGGCGGCTACGGCCGGCTGACGGCTACGAGCAGCCAGCAGCTGCAGGCGGCTGGCAGCTACGGGCAGCACGAGGCAACGGGCGGCCAGCGGGGACTAGTGACGGGCGGTTAGAAATAGGCGGCTAGGAACGGGCGGCTAGCGACTGGCGGCTAGGAACGGGCGGCTAGCGACGGGCGGCTAGGGCTAGGACTAGAGCGGAAGCACGGGTGGGCGGGGAGGACCTAACCTAGCACATGATACCATCTCAGAGTTAACAAGTAGCTAGTTGTCAACATATATATTATTGATATATATTTGTGTAGGCTTGGTACGTGTTAGGTATCGTACAATGGATCATATTGTAGAGGGTACAACATCCTTCTTGTATCCCTCTCTCTTCTAGTCCAACTCTGTTTTCTCTCCTCACTTTTCTCCCTAGCTAAAACCTCTCGCCATTCTCATGCCTAGCTAACTTCTTAGCTCCTTTCAACTTGGTATCAGAGTAGGAAGATCCTACTGAGCCTCCTATTCACGCTTCCGCCGCGTACTCTCTCCTCTCCTTTCACTTTCGCGTCGCCGTGGCGGCCTCCATGTGCTGCCGCGGCGGCCTCGCCGCGCGGCCGCGGCGACCTCGTCTCGCTGCTCGTCGAGCAGCCGTGGCGGCCTCTCCCCGCTGTCACGGCAACTTCGACGCGCTGCCGTGGCCGCCATGTCCTGCTACCACGGCGGCCTCGACGCGCGGAGGCCTCGTCGTGCTGCCGTGTCGTCGTCGTGCTGTCGCGGCGGCTTCGATGCGCCAGCGTACGGACGTCTGCGGCCAGAGCGCTGGTTAATGCGCTAGCCAGCACACCCGCACGCCAACAAGTGTCGCGCCAGCCACGGCGCCTCGCTGAAGACCCACCCCCTTCCCTGCGTCTCCCTTCATCCCAGCCGCAGCTGATGGCTCCGTTCCCGGTCGTCGCCGGGCCGTGCCACGCCGCCGGGTGCCGCGAGCTTCGTTGTCGCCGTCGCCGTCGTCGAAGTCGCCGCCGCCACTGCAGGTGTCGTTGGCTGCGTCGCCGCCGCTGTCGTCGTCGTAGAAGCCGCCGCTTACGCCGTTGCTGCCACCCGCCGCCGATGTCGCCGCTTCGCACGAGGGGTAGAAGCCACACTTGCTGCAGGACATGGGGTTGCAAGGGCTTGGGGGTGTTGAAAGGAGCTAACTAGGAGTAGCTAGGCATATGAGAATGTCGAGAGGTTTAGCTAGGAAGGAAGAGTTACGAGATAAAAGAGAGTTGGACTAGAAGAGGAAGAGATACAAGAAGGGGGGGTTGTCCCCTCTAGTATGATCCAGTTATATAGCACATCTACCAAGCCTACATAAATAAATTATATAAATATATAATTTGACAGCAAGGGCTTGGGGGTGTTGCGTGTGTGGTGTGCTAGTGCCTACAAAGCCTATGGTGGTGTGTCAACTTATATATTATTTATATATATTTGTGTAGGCTTGGTAGGTGTTAGGTGTCCTACAATGGATACTACTGTAGAGGGTACAATACCTTTCTTGTATATGCTAAGATCTTGTACCCTCTATGAGCATGCACATATCTAGCTTATAATATATATAAAATATATATTGGCAATGTGTTGTTTCTTTCCAAATGTTTTGTCATTGCATGAGTGCTTAAGAGTGCACCATTTTTTCAGGCATTTGTTGCTTAAGAGTGCGCCACTTTTTAGGGCATTTGTAGTATTTAGGATGTAATTTCCTATGGAGGATAGAACAGAATGTTTCTAATGAAATGTATACCGACATAATTTCCCTCTCGTAGCGCCACCTACCGCCTTGTGTTTTGATTTCAAACATCAGGCCGTTCCGATGACTATTGATTGCTTGTCCACCTACACTACCAATCCAAAACCAGCGTTTTAGAATGTTATGGCGGCGAGAAGTAAGAACCAGTGGCAGCTAAACCAGCGAGTTGTGCTCACAGCGTCAGGAACCAGCGGCACACATACACTGCCGTGGAACCTGGACCGCAGCTGCAGCTTCTGGCAGTTTCCGTTCATTTCGGCCGAATTTAGCAGGCCATTTCTATTAGAAAGGTGAGAGTAGTATTTCCGACTCCCGTTTTCTAATTGCTGTGTCACGCCTTCGTGCGCTGCGATTAGCAATGCTTTCAATAGCCAGCGTTTTCACTGGAAGCAGGCGTTCTTTTTCGAAGTTACAGACTGTTTTTCAAGGGTACCTTTTTTCAAACTGCCCTACTCCTTACTTCGTCCAAGTCCTAACTTGCGTCCAGGTCTTTCAGCTCTCTGCTGCACGCTCGCTTGCGTGTTCCAATCGCAGGCCAAGCCTCCTCCCTTTCCTCTTCTATACTCGCCTTTGTCTTTCTTCTTCCCGTGGTTCTGAGGGTTCCCTTACGTGCCTTCCTCCTCCCGTTCTTCATTGTCACTTGTCCAATCGCAGGCCATGCCTCCTCCTCTTCCTCCTCCTCCTCCCTCTCCTTCTCCTCCTCCTCTTTCTCTGGGTATATCTCGACTTCGTCACACCTCTCAGCGCCCTCCTTTCCGTCTCCTTGCCGCAGCCTCCGTTACAGTCACATCTCTCTCACTCACCTCTGTCTCAGTCGCAGCAGCAGCTTCAGCCGTCCATTAATGGGGAGGCACTAGCGGCTCCTTCTGCTGCTGCTGTTTCACTCAGGCGAAAGTGGCAGCTGGGAGCAGGTAAGCAGCTAAAATATAAGGCTCAAGTAGTGAGTATTTTGACTATCTTTTGGGCATTTTCCATCAACAGCCTTTTCGCTATTCTCCTCAACCTGTCCCCTTCACCCTTCAATCCAATACTCCCCAATCGCACCCACCCTCATGCGAGCCCCCTCTCATCCCTATCTTCCACTTCTCCCCTCTCCCTCATTCCTCTCAGACTCCTCTGTGCCCCCACCACGCCCACTGAACGGCGAAACCCAGGCAGCAGGAGTGGGGACGCCTGGGACCCAGGCGTCTCCTCCGCTGCCGCCCATCCCTGGGCCCCAACCACCAACTCGCCCTAAGTCGGCCATCCCCGGGCCCCTGCTACCCTCTCGCCCCAACCCTCTCATTCCCGGCTCCCGCCTCTTCTCTCCAAGCGCTCTGAGGGCGTTTGAGCGCCGATTCGAGTGTCTCGCATCGCAGGGCGTGTGGGACTTGGACCCCCTGCCACGCCCCCTGCCCTGGACCCCAAGGGGGGGATGGTCGGGGGGGGAATGCGACGTGCGGTGGGCGGGGGAGGAAATGTGGCGCGAGGAGAGGGCGGGGGAGGATGATGGGGAAGGGGAAACCAGTGGAGATGAGATACAAGGAGAGGAGGGTGGTGGGGAGGAGACGAGGGGAGAGGAAAGCGTGGGGGCTTCACGAGAAGGAGAGGCAGCAGATGGAGAGGAGAGTGGGAAAGATGGTGGTGTGGGAGGGGAGGATCAGGTGGTCGCAGGCAAGATGGGAGACGGAGCAGTGGAAGGACGAAAGGCCCAAGAGCTTGCTGCAACCAGCCGATTAGATCAGGAAATCTTAGATCAGCCAATTGCGGAAACAGACGGCTCTGATGGGGCAGCTTTCGCCACAGATAGCCAAGCAGACGCTTCAGCAATATCGGAACCAGGAGAGTCGGAAGCACCTGAAGCATGGGGAGCACCTGAAGATTTTGGGGACTTAAGCGTGGACGAAGCAGCGACAGGGAGTGTGGGTGAAGAATTGAGTGAGGGGCAAGGGGTTCTCGTGCCTCCGGATCTAGACGAGTCATCACTCGCAGCACCTGAAGCACCTGAAGAAACTGAAGCACCTGAAGAAACTGAAGCACCTGAAGAAACTGAAGCACCTGAAGAAGCTGAAGCACCTGAAGAAGTTGAAGCACCTGAAGTGATTAATACGCCTGAAACATCTGAATCGCCTGAAGCCATGGCAGCATCTGCAGCACCAGAAGGCAACAATCTACCTGACGAGCCGACAACACCTGAAGGGAACAATCCACCTGACGAGCAGACAACACCTGAAGGGAACCCTGCACCTTCAGCACGGCAAGAAACGTCATTCCCCAACCTGGCATTTGAAGCAGCAGACAGAGTAGCCATCTTCGCACAGCCAGCAGCAGAGTGGAGAGTAAGAGAAACACTTAAGTACCAGTGGCGAGTGAAGCTTAAGTGCGGGGCGTGGGGGGAATTTGACAGGGCGAGACTGGCCACTGTGCTTGCAGGGAGAACTGTGCTTATAGTGGGGGATTCGCTCAGCTCTATGATGTTCAGGTCGATAAGGAATCACCTGCTGCAGAGACACGTGAGGGATCAGGGCTTCTCTAGGTACGGTGAAGAGTTTGTAGAGAGGGGGAGAGAAGAGAGGGGGAGTTTGGAGGGGGAGAGTGTGGAGGGGGGGAGTTTGAGGAGGGGAGGTGTAGAGAGGGAGAGTGTGGAGAGGAGACGTGTGGGGAGGGTTGTTGCTCGGGACGAGGTTCTTGCTGTGTGCGAGCAGCGCTTGCAGCACCCGCAGCTGCAGGAGAGGCCAGATGTGGCGTTCTGTGGCGCTGTTTCCTTGGGCTTTGACCATGATGGTACAGGTGGTGATAGTAGCAGCAGCAGCAGCGGCGGCAGCAGCAGCGGCAGCAGTGGCAGCAGCAGCAGCAGCAGCAGCAGCAGGAGCAGCAGCAGCAGCAGCAGCGGTAGTGTTAACAACAGTCGGCTCAGTAATATACTGTTCCTTTACCTCCGGGATGACATACTCCATACAAGCTTGGAACCCACTATAAGAATCCCCGAGCTTGTCTCCCTCCCGTGGATCGATATCATTCAGCCACAGAATGGAGATGACCCTCATTCCCACACTTTACTGGGAGGCTACCAACCCGCCTCAATCCTCATTCTGAATCGCGGGGCGCACTATAAAGAGGACGAAGTGTTCCGAGCGGAGCTGAACGAAACGCTTAACAAAGCACGAGCAGCGGTGCCAGATCTCCTGATCATCTACCGCAGCTCGCCACCGGGACACAAAGACTGCGACATTCTCACAGCCCCATTGGCTGATCGACAAAACCCGGGCGATTTACCCTATCATTGGGGGGATTTTGCCCGGCAAAATGAGATTGCGAGGGAGTTGGTGAGGGGGGTAGGCGGTGTGTTCTTGGATGTATATCCTATGACGGCCTTGAGACCTGATGGCCACAGCTCCCCCCCTGCTGACTGCTTGCATTACTGCTTACCGGGACCTCCCGATGAATGGACTCGAGTCTTGTATCACATGCTTTTGGATTTGCTTTAACATGGTATTCTTTATTCGATTTATTGATGGTGCGGTAATTCTTTGTAGTGGTGTCTGAAGCCGGGTGTGAGCTCCTTGGGCCGATTCTTGCAGGTTGATCATGAACTAAAGCGCAGCAGGCTGCTGCGAAAGAATACACATCTAGAAAGCAAGGGCCAGGGCCTTTCAGCTCTGATTTCATCTGCCGCCTGAGCGGGGGCTTTGCTCCCCACACTCCTCCCCATGACCATTGCAGATTCCCCTCTCCTGCCCCAGCCAACTCCCCCCCCCAGGTGAACTCCCACAGGTGAACCCTCCTCACACAGCAACAGCCAGTCATCGACCCTGACCGGCTCACCCGTCCATGCCTTTAGACAGCAGCCTCCCCACTCTTCTTGATGATCACAGCATCCCCCCTCCCTGTGAGTGTGAGGTGGTGTGCCTTAACACACCCTCACACAGCAACACCCCAGTCGTACACCCTAACCGGCTCACCCATCCCTCTCAAGATCCCCTTGATCTCATCTGCCGCCTCCCCGCTTCTCCCCATGATCATGGCAAAGCCCCTCCCTCCCACCCCTGCCAGCTTCGCACCGCAACTAAGATGCCCCACGGTGGCAAATAGCGCGTCGACAAGTGGATTGCTACAGTGCGGGTCGAGCTCCTGGTGCCGATCCCAGGTGTAAGTGAGAATGCGCCCTAGGAGGTCGAGATCGGCTCACCCATACCTCTCAAAATCTGCTTGATCTCATCTGCAGCCTCCCCGCTCCTCCCCACTCCTCCCCACTCCTCCCCACTCCTCCCCACTCCTCCCCACTCCTCCCCACTCCTCCCCACTCCTCCCCTCTCCTCCCCCCTCCTCCCCCCCCTGTGAGTGTGAGGTGGAGTGCCTTCATACATACCCCTTCACTCAGCAACAGCCCAGCCATACACCCTAAACGGCTCGACCATGCCTTTCAGCCGCTGCTGCTATGTGAGTCCACCAGGTCAGCAAGCAGCAGCTGACGCGAGAGACGCAAAGTTGTGCCCCAAGGACCCTCCGTCTGTGGCAGAAGCAGGGGGTCGTCTAGTAACGTCACCCTTACTGGTACCTATAGTAGCCTCACCCTCACGACTAGCTGATGCTGTGCGTGTTGCGCCCAAGGGACACCCTTTAGAAGCATCAGCAGTACCAGCACTGCTGCTACCAGCAGCAACAGCAGCAGCAGGTGAACAGCTGCCGTCTATAGCAGCACTAGAGCCACCATCACCCTCACTAGCTGATGCTGTGCGCGTTGCGCCCAAGAGACACCCTCTGGACGCATCACCAGCACTGCCACTGTCAGCAGGTGAACAGCTGCCGCCTATAGCAGCAGGCGCGAAACCAGAGAGCAGCAGGGACCGGCGGTGTAACGCCGAGGCGAGCAGAGCGGGGAAGTCGATCTCGGAGTGCAGGAGAGCGAGCGACGTGCGGTCAGATCTGCGCCACGTGTCGGCCTGCTGTTGGCTGAGAGCCACATGGCGAGAGGAAGATTGATCGAGAGCGGGAGGGAAGGTTCCGAGAAGCCACATGGCGAGGGGAAGGCCGGAGCCCTGGGGGAGGATGGGGAAGAGGAGGGCACTCCAGAGGTCCTGCTTTGGGTGAATTGGGCGGCCTTGGTTGTCTGTTTCTGGAGTGGGGTGAAGAAAGAAAAGAGTGCCAAAAGAGGCTTGGAAAGGTTGTTTTGCTTGAGTGAGTGTGCTTGGGAATCAGGAGCCGGGGGGGGGGGGGGGGGGGGTTCAGCATGGGCTGGGAGGATTCTAAATCAGAGGCGCCTAGGAAGAAACAAACTCACCTGGCCATAGATCCGCCACTTTGAGCCCTCTCTCCTTTAACCACAGCCCCCAGGGGCGGCCACAGAAGGAGCCTCCCCCAGAAACGGACAACTTAGGGTTGTCGTCCACGCCACAGCACAGGGTCACCTCCCGCCCCCCTTTTAGCGGCACCTGCCATAGGCACATGTGACTAGGGAGCACCAGAGGAGGAGGAGGAGGAGGAGGAGGAGCGGGATAGCTTGAAGTGGTAGATGGGATGGGGGTACGTCCGTGGGGTGGCAGCATGGTGGCTGCATGATTGGAAGCTTCACCGAGTGCTGACTCAGCAGATGCTGATTCGGAAAAAGCTGCTGACTTGGCAGATGCTGACTCAGCACGCGCTGACTCAGCATGTGCTGACTCAGCAGCAGCAGTGTCTACGCCAATCACGATGCATCCATCTCCAATCCGCGTCCCCCCAACCAAAGTGCTGTCAGACACAACAGAGCCCTCCCCGACGCATGCGCCGGGGCGCACAAGCGACGAAATAAGTGTTGCGGATTCCGCCACGTGGCACTCTGTCGGCACCGGGACCGCGCTGAGGTGGCGGCGCGACATTCGCCCAGAGTAGGCAAGGCGCATGTGGTGCAGATACTCGGATGATGTGCCAAAGTGAAGGAAGGAGAGATCGTCTGAAGTGGGGGGGGGATTGGGAGTGCATGCAGCAGAATAAGAACCCCCCAGGGTAGGCGAGGCGCGCGCATGTGGTGCAGATACTCGGAGGAGGTGCCAAAATGGAGGAAGGAGAGATCGTCTGTAGGGGGGTTCAACACACGGGGGTAGATGCCGGGGAGAGAGCGTGGGGGCAAAGGGGCAGGGAAGGGGGTGCTGGAGTGCAGATACTCGGAGGACGTGCCGAGTGGAGGAAGGAGAGGTGGGGGGAAAAAGGGGGAGGAGGAGTCACACCGCAAAGGCGGGAGGAGAGGGTAGAGAGGAACGAAAGGTGGGGGGGAAGGGGGAGGAAGGGGTAACTTAAGGTGGGGGGAAGGGGGAGGGAGGGGTAATGAAAGATGGGGGGAAAGGGGGAGGGAGGGTTAATAGTTCTGAGGCAAGCTAGAGTAGAGTAGGTGAGGCGCACGTGTGTGTGGGTGAGGCGCATGTGTGTGTGGGTGAGGCGCACGTGTGTGTGGGGTGATGAGTAACGAAATGCAGAGAGCACGGAACAGCATGCACACGACCAGCCAAGCAGCAGACTTGCCTGCGCTGTGGTGGTAGAGCGAGTGGGAGCTGAGATGAGAGAGAGATGAGGTGCGTTGTATGCGTTTCAGTGGGGAGCAGTATTCGCACAGAAACAGTATTCAGCTAGACTTGCCTGCGTAGTGCTGGAGGAGCAAGTGAGAGCTGAGGTGGGTCGGCGAGCAGGTGTGCGCCAGAGGACCAAGAGGAAAGCCATTTGTGGCGCGCTCGTGCAGTGGGAAATGGATTGCAGAGAGTGGGGAAAAGAATGCAGACAACCAGACTTGCCTGCGCAGTGGTGGAAGAGCAAGTGGGAGCTGAGATGGGCCAGCAGGTGTGACCCGATGGGTCGAGTTGAGAGCCACTTGTGGCGCGCTGGCACCCATGCCGATGCGAGCTCCTCGTATAGACTCAACTGAAGGGAAGAGCACACGTGCAACGGAAGACACATAGCAAGCAGAGATTAGGTGGCGTGTTGGCACCCATGCCGATGCCAGCTCCTTGCATAGATCCAACTGGAGGTACGAGCACATGGGGAAAATGCAAGAAGATAGCAGCGTATATGAGAATTCTAAGGAAACCGCGGCGTTTTAAGACACCCATGCTGATGCTACATAGCACAGCACCACCCACTGCAACATAGCACCGCCCCCTGCAGCACAGCATCGCCCCCTGCAGCATAGCCCTGCCCCCTGCAGCATAGCACCGCCCCCTGCAGCATAGCACTGCCCCCTGCAACATAGCACCGCCCCCGGCAACATAGCACCATCCCCTCCACTCACCTCCTCACCAAAAGCCAGCACCTCGCCAGCATATCATCCTCGCTGGTCACGAAGCCAATGAGGTCGTGCCACATGTCACCGAAATGCTCCCACCCCACTCACCTCCTCAGGCGAAGCAGTTAATTTGTGTGAATTCTCAAAGCCCAACCCCAGTTACTCACCTCCTCACCCAAAGCAGTTAATTGGCGTGAATTCCAAAACCTCAGCCCCACTCACTCACCTCCTCACCAAAGGCCAGCACCTCTGCCAGCAAATCATGCTCGCCGGTCGCAAGGCCAATGAGGTCGCGCCACGTGTCGCCGCAGACAACGTAGATGCCTGTGTCCAGCAGCGCCCCTCCCGTGCCGCACAATGCCCCCCGCTCTACCATCTCCACCACACTCGGCTTCTGCAGCAGGTCTGCTACTAGCTGGGGCGGCTCCGTGTCACAATGCTTTCCATGCTGCTGCTTCTGCTGCTGCTGGTGGTGATGGTGCTGCTGCTGCTGGTGCTGTTGTTGCTGCTGCTGCTGCTGCTGCTGCTGCTGCTTCTCCTGCTGCTGCTGCTTCTGCAGGTGTGAATATCGCTGGTTCGAGTGAGACTGCGAGGATTTTTGGCCCGAGGCAACGTGCCTGCTTCGGTCCGAGGCAAGAATGACTCCGTGCCTGGAAGCTACCTCTAGCGGCGCGGCAGCGGTGACAACGAGAGCACCGTGGGTCGGCAGGCAGATGCGAGATGCGTCGAAGCACGGGAGTACGTCCCCCGTCATGCAGAAGAGAGCGCCCTCTGGGGGGAAGGGGGACAAATGGGAACAAGAAACCAGGGCACCGTGGAATGGCAGGCAGATGCGAGATGCATCGAAGCAGGGGAGCACGTCCCCAGTCATGCAGAGAAGAGCGCCCTCTGGGAGGAAGAGGGGAAGCAGAGAACAAGGAAGGAAGGGAAGAAGCGGAGGGGATGGGCGACGGATTAAGCTGTGTCAAGGACGACCCCGCGCCTGGAAGCAAAATGCTTGGTTGAGTCCGAGGCCAGCACGACTGCTTGTCTGGAAGTCACGTCTAGTGGCACGGCAGCAGTGACAACGAGAGCACTGTGGAGCTGTGGGGCTGTGGCGCGGCATCACCCGCGGCAACGACCACTCCGTGCCTGGACGCAACATGCTGTATTTTGAGCCGACTCAAAATACAACTGGACGCAACATGCTTGCTTGAGTCCCAAGGCCAGCACCCACGATCACTGCGTGCCTGGAAGCCACGTCTACGGGCACAGCACGGCAGCGGTGATAACCAGAGCACCGTGGGATGGGAGCACCATGGCTGGCGTGTTGAAGCCCGGAAGCACATCCACTCAGCTTATACTTGCTTGGGTGGGAGAGCCAGCAAGGAGACAGTGAGGACACAGTGAGGATGTGGTCAAAGAGGGTCAAGGGGGGTCCATAAGGTCTAGACTGAGACGCCTGGTGAAAACTAAATGCAGTAACGTACTATTGGGTGGGAGAGCCAGCAGGGCGCGTGAAGAGACGGCCAGGATGTGGTCAAAGAGGGTCAACGGGGGTCCGTCAGGGTCGTCTCCAGCCAGCAGGGGGAAGGACACAAAGGGCTTGCCACACGGGTTGGCCCACGGCAGCCGCTTGCTGTCGCCCGCTGCAGTCACCAGCAGCACTCGCATGGATGATAGACGGGCTGCAGATGACTGACGGAGAGGAGGGGAGGGGAGGGGAGAGGGGGGGGAGAGAGGGGGAGAAAAGAGAGAGGAAAAGGCGCTTGCTGTGCCCCCCTGCAGGCACCAGCAGCACTCGCATAGATGATAGGCAGGCAGTGGACGACTGACGGAGGGGAGGGGGGAGGAGGGGAGGGGAGGGGAGGGGAGGGAAGGGAAGGGGGGGGGGAGGGGAGGGAGGGGAGGAGCGAGGGGGAGAAAGGAGAGAGGAAAGACGCTTGATGTGGCCCACTGTAGTCACCAGAAGCACTTGCACGGATGATAGGCGGGCTGTGGATGACTGGGGAGTGAGGCGAGGCGAAGGGGAGAGAGGGGGAAAAAAGAGGCAAAAGCATATACGGAGAATATTCGACATATCTCTCTCCTCGCCTTGTGTGAATTGCCAGCCACTGAAATACCCCCCCTCAGGTAATCCCATTCAAGTCTCACCTCCCCCAGGTAATCCCATTCAAGTCTCACCGTCCCCAGGTAATCCCATTCAAGTCTCACCGCCCCCAGGTGGTCCCTCCGCGCCCGAATAGCTCCTGCTGTAACCTCCTGCTCCTGCTGTCGCTGCAAGTCTCACCTCCCCCAGGTGGTCCCTCAGCGCCCGAATAGCTGCCAGGTCTCTCCTCCAGACCCAGTAAGTAAGCTCCAGACCCATCCAGATATCACCTCCCCCAGTAACCTGAATCAGTCTCACCTCCCCCAGGTAGTCCCTCAGCACCCGAATTGCTCCCAGGGTCGCTCCTCCGGACTCAATGTTGCTCTGTTGGTCTGGTACTTCGAGTCCATTCGAAAGCCACCCCAGACAGTTATCCCCATCCAGATCTCACCTCCCCCAGCACGATGGTCTCCTGCGCAATGTGCCCATTGTGGCGCGCTGCTGCCAGCTGCCTGGAGAGAGGCGGATTGGCGACAGGGGCAGGGCAGGAGGGTGTGGATGAGGCCAAGGCGGTGTGGGGGTTGGCACTGCCTGCCAGCACGATGGTCTTCTCTGCAATGTGCCCATTGTGCCGCGCTGCTGCCAGCTGCCTGGAGATTGATGGGGTAAGGTTGAGAGCGGTAAGAAAGGTGGTGGGGTGAGAAGGTGGTGGTGTGAGAAGGCGGTGGGTCGTAATATGCATGTGCAATGCATAGCATGCATGCAGCAGCGGTGATCAGCAGCGCGTCCCACAGAGGGAGTTTCGTTCGAGACGCCTCAAAACAACAGTTGAGCGCATGAGATGTAAAATTACCAACAACAAACGTCTACAAAGAGCTTTCGTCTACAAAGAGCATACGTCTACAAAGAGCTTTCGTCTACAAAGAGCATACGTCTACAAAGAGATTTCGTCTACAAAGAGATTTCGTCTACAAAGAGATTTCGTCTACAAAGAGCATACGTCTACAAAGAGCTTTCGTCTACAAAGAGCATACGTCTACAAAGAGCTTTCGTCTACAAAGAGCATACGTCTACAAAGAGCTTTCGTCTACAAAGAGCATACGTCTACAAAGAGCTTTCGTCTACAAAGAGAATACGTCTACAAAGAGCTTTCGTCTACAAAGAGCATACGTCTACAAAGAGCATACGTCTACAAAGAGCATACGTCTACAAAGAGCATACGTCTACAAAGAGCATACGTCTACAAAGAGCATACGTCTACAAAGAGCTTTCGTCTACCAAGAGCATACGTCTACAAAGAGCTTTCGTCTACAAAGAGCATACCTCTACAAAGAGCATACGTCTACAAAGAGCTTTCGTCTACAAAGAGCATACGTCTACAAAGAGCTTTCGTCTACAAAGAGCATACGTCTACAAAGAGCATACGTCTACAAAGAGCATACGTCTACAAAGAGCATACGTCTACAAAGAGCATACGTCTACAGAGAGCATACGTCTACAAAGAGCATGAACCTACCTACGGACCTACCTGGAGTACAGGTCAGCCTGCGCGTCGCTCGCAGCGGTGATCAGCAGCGCGTCCCACGGGGGAAAGCGATTGGGGGCGCGAATGGACAGGCGGAGCTGGAACCACGCGCGGGCCAGGACCTCCGCCTCCCGCCGACCGTCGCTGGCCAGCTGGGTGGAATTTGCAGGGTGCTTTTGAGAGTTGTCTAAAACAGCCGGGAGTGGAACCGCGGGGGCCAGGACCTCCGCCTCCCGGCGGCCGTCGCTGGCCAGCAGGGCGTGTGGGACCCCGTGCCGCGGCCGCTGCCCGGGAACCCCTGCCGATTTCTGAGGTGCCTCAAATATCCCTTGCCGCGCCCGCTGCCCTGGAGCTTCAGCCACGCGCACTGCCGTAGAGCCGCCCCTGCCCCGGGCGAGGATATCCGCCTCCCTGCGGCCGTCGCTGACCAACGGGGCGTGTGGGACCCCCTGCCGCGCCCGCTGCCCGGGAACCCCTGCCGATTTCTCGAGAACAGCCGGGGCTGGAACCGCGTGCAAGAGTGTCTCCGCCTCCCGGCGGCCGTCGCTGTTGGGGTTGGCGATTACTGCTCTCAGCCTGCCGGCCAGGATCTCCGCCTCCGTGCAAACGTCGCTGTTGGGGGCTGTGGTTACTGCTCTCAATCCTCCGGCCAGGATCTCCGCCTCCCGGCGACCGTCGCTGGCCAGCTGGGATGAGAGCCAGTCGTCGGCTCGCGTGCTCACCGCCATGATGGCTCGACTCGTCCCAAGAATCGCGGAATGCTCTACTCGTCTCAACCGCCACTACTACGCGTCGAGTGTCGCGTGAATACCGTGAAGTACCAGCCTGGATGAGAGGCAGTCGTCTGCTCGCGTGCTCGCCGCCATGGCTCGAGTCGTCCCAGAAATCGCGAACTCCCCCAACCCCTACGCGTCGAGTATCTCGAGAATACCGTGAAGTGCCAGCCAAGAAGTAAGCCAGTCGTTGGCTCGGGTGCTCGCCGGCATTGCTTGAATCGTTCCAGACATCGCGAACTGCCCCAACCCCCGTGCGCGTGGAGTGTCTCGAGACGAATTCTCCGAGAAGCCAAGAATCGAGGATTGAAGAAAAAACGCGCGACACGCCCGACTCTTGGTTCATCTGGGAACGCGAACCCGGATGAACCAAGAAGAATCGGGCGGGTCGCGCCCATGCTCTGGGGCTGAAATTCCTGGGGTTTCTCCTTGGGGACTCGGGAGTCCATTTTCAGGCCAAGAGAGCACCAAAAGCGTGCACTGCAGGCGAGTTGCGCAACATACACACGGGAAGTTAGGCGCCATACATGCTGCAGCGTATGTTGCGTGCATCTCCAGACCACCCTGGCAGCATCGATGCAGCCTTTGGACAGCAGAGGCTGGCCGCACTCTGCGACTGCCGCTGCACCGAACGCGCAGGGCTGTGAAAAACAATGGACACCAGCAGTGAAGTTGTAAGGACAGGGGCGCGACAATTAGGGCGTGTCCTTATAACATATTTTCAATTCGATATTTGGTTCAGTTACCCTATTTTGGCATGTAACTACAGAAGGTACATTGTTATGAAATAGGAAGTGTCAATGTACTATAACGTGAGAATACAAGGTCGCTATTACGACTCAGTAAGGAATGGAAATTCCTTACACTACCCCCCCCTCCTAAACGAGACCGCGGGCATCGGAAACGTTCCGACGCCGATAATACGCGGTTAGAATCGGGTGTGATTCTAGCTCAGCGAGCAGCACCCAGATGTCATCGTCGGATGTGCGATCATGTCAGCGGACGAGAAAATCAACCATCCGGCGGTTCAGCTGCGTCGTGACTCGATGGCCGAGAATTTTCAAAGGCTCGGTTGTCGGTTCCTGCAGAGGCGTCAGTTGCGGTACTGCGCGTTGGCGCGCCAAGTCTGACGAACTGGGGACGTAGGGCCGTAAGAGGCCGACGTGGAAAGCCGGGTGGTGACGCCAGTCAGCTGGGAGTCGGAGGTGAGTAGTGACAGGTGTCACGATATTCGTAACTTGAAAGGGTCCGCAGAATCGGGGGCGGAGTTTGCTCGGGATCGGCAGCCGCAAATTGCGAGTGTCGAGGAGGACGAGATCTCCCACTTTGTAAGTGACGTCGCGCCGATGGCGATCAGCTTGTCGGCTTGTGACCAGGTTGGCTTTCCGGATGGCTTCAGCTGCTTTTTCTCGGGCGGCGAGAATGTCTTCAGCAAATTTCTGGGACCGGGGCACGAGTGTCTCGATGTTCGTGATAGAAGGTACCACTGGGTCCTGTCCGTAATTAAGGAAAAACGGGGACTGATGGGTTGTCGCGGAGGGCGCGTTGTTATACGCGAATTCCAGCAGCGGAAGGGATTTCTCCCATGTCTGTGGGTCAGTACAGGTAGTTCGAATGAGCTGCTCCATAGTTTGGTTGACTCGTTCGGTCTACCCGTCTGTCTGTGGTGGTAGGCGGAGGAAAATTGCAGTTTGGTGTCGAATTGGACCCACAGTTTGCTCCAGAAATTCGATGTGAATTTCGGGTATCGGTCTAAAATAATTGCGGTGGGCAGTCCGTGGAGTCTAATGACGTTGGCGATAAACAGTTGGGCAGTTTGCTCGGCTGTGATTGTCTGTTGGCAAGCGATGAAGTGCGCCATTTTCGTGAGTCGGTCAACGACTACGAGGATGGCGTCGTTTCCGCTGGGATTGGCTGGCAATCCCGTCACGTAGTCCATCGTAATATGTTGCCAGGGTCGCTCGGGCGGATCCAACGGCTGTAGGAGTCCGGCTACTCGCTGATAGGAGGACTTCATGATTTGGCAGGCGGTGCAGGAGGACACGTACTTGCGCATGTCGTCGGCCATGTTCGGCCAATAATAGTTGCGCTGCAACGTCTTCAGAGTTTTGTCGACGCCAAAATGCCCGGAGATCGGGTTGTCGTGGGATTCCTGTATTAACAGGGTACGAAGTAAATCGTAGCCGGGTACCCAAATGCGAGAAGTATCGTGCTTATTAAAATAGTGTCCGTTGGCGGTGGTATGCTGTTGATGAATAGCAGAGCGGAAGAAAGGGTCGATTCTGTAGCCGTGGGTAAATAGTCCGGTAAGTAATGGGCTGGTCTGGGCAACTACTATGGCGGCGGTATGGGCAGTGGGTCGGGTCAGGGCATCGGCAATATTGTTGGCACCCCATTTGTAGGTGATGGTGTAATGGAAATTCGACTCGAGGAAATCGAGCCATCGGATCTGTCGCGGGTTGAGGTTCGGTTGGGCTCGCAGGTACTGTAAGGATTTGTGGTCAGTTCGCACCGTAACGTCAGCGCCGTCAGGTAGCACCGCCAGGTCTTGAAAGCGTGGACGATTGCCAGCACTTCCTTGTCGTGTACTGCATAATTTTTCTCCGCGCCCTGCAGCTTCCGTGATTCGTAGGCGACTGGCTGTAACCCGTTGCCAAAATCCTGTAGGAGGACTGCGCCGTTGGCGATGTCGCTGACGTCGGTGATGACTTCGTATGGACGGTCAGGATCGGAGATGCGAAGGACGGGCGACGATCTTCAGCTGGTCAAATGCAGCTTGCTGCTTCTCTCCCCACCAAAAACAATCGGGATCCTTCAGTCGGTCGGTTAGCAGGGCAGATAACCCAGCCATATTGGGTATAAAGCGGCGGACGTAGTTGACGAAACCCAAAAAACTCTGCAGCTCCTTGAGGTTTGTTGGCGGCTTCCACTCCTGTATGGTCTTGATTTTCTTGGGGTCGATTTTCACTCCTTCGGTAGAGACGACGTGTCCCAAAAACTCCAACTCCTGCTTAAGAAAGTCGCACTTAGACCCTTTCGTGATGAGGCGATTCTTGTGCAACAGTGTTGCCCCCTGTTGCGGCTGTAGATTAGTATGTCGTCGAGGTAGAAAATAACGCATTTATCCAAGAGTTTCCTGAAAACGCCGTTCATGGTCATCTGGAATGTCGAGGGCGCGTTCGTGAGGCCAAAGGGCATCACCAGGTATTCGTAGCTGGCGTAGCGGGTTCGAAAAGCGGTTTTGTGACAATCTTCGGCAGCGACGCGAATCTGATGGTAACCTCCTCGCAAATCGATTTTCGAGAAGAACTTGGCTCCGCGAAGTTGGTCCAGTAAGTCATTAGCTCGCAGGATCGGGTAACGTGACTTGATTGTGATCCTGTTGAGCGTGCTGTAGTCGATGCACATGCGGAATCCTCCATCCTTCTTCGGGGTGAACAGGATCAGGGCAGCGTATGGGGACGTGCTGGGCCGGATAAAACCCTTCGTGAGAAGATAATCCAGCTATTGCTGCAGTTCTTCCAGTTCCGGTTGGCTGAGCCGAAATTGTCGCTGTACTGTCGGTTGGGCACCTGGTTCCAGCTCGATGCGACGGTCTTCTGGTCGGCTCGGTGGCAGTCCGGCGGGCAGATCATCCGGGAAAATCTCGGAGTACTTCCGAATCAGGTCCGCTAAATCCGGAGGGACAGCTTCGCACAGCTTCGCGATATCTTCGGCTGTTGTCAGCGACGTCACTTCGCAAAGATCGACGGCATACGCTGCAGCTCTCGCTTTTATCGCGCGCTTGAAAGTTATCACATGGACTTGGGTGTTTCTAATTCGCGGCCCCGTCCATTTCGGGAGTTCGCGATGAAGCCCATCGATTTTGATGCTGCAGCCGCCCGTAGTCCAGTCAATCTTCGGGTTGTACTGTCGCAGCCAATCCCGTCCCAGCAGCACGTCGCATCTGTCGAGTGTAGTCGCCAGCAGTCCCATCCAAAATTTTACGTGCTCCCCGCAGTGGAAACTGACGTTCTCCACTCGTTCCCGTATAGCCAGCGGTGTTCCATCTACTAGGCGGGCGTCAATTTCGGGTAGACACTTAAGTAGGGGAATACCCAATTTTTTAGCCCTGTCCAGCTGTATGAGACTGTGACTCGCGCCTCCATCCACGAATATTTTTAGCAACACCCCGTTGACTTTACCCTCCACCAACGCAGGGTGATCAGCAGTTTCGTCCCCCTTATTCGTCCGGGTCCGGTCGATTGCAGCAATCGGGATCACGACCCGGTGGGGACTGTGTGGTTCGGGCGAAGAAGCCTGCCCGTCAATAAGGGGCCCGGTACTTACTGACGCGACCCATTTCCCGGTCGCTCCTCCGGCTTCTTCCCCATAGAACTCCGAGTGGCTATGATTTCTGGGCAGTTGCGTCGGATGTGACCCGGTCGGCCACAGTGGTAGCATAGCCCCGTATTTCGCGGAGCAACTGCATAAATATCCATTGCGTCCATCCCTTTTATCATGGCGCGCTGGTACTGTTCTCGAGGGCGACCTCCGTCGTAGAAGTTCGTCCTCGGCTTCGTGAGCGAATCGGGGAGTTGGATAAAATCTTGTAACCGCTTCGCATGTCGTTGCAGTTTTATCTGGTACTGCATTTCAGGCTTCAGCCCGCCCATGTACCTGTCGACCTTCTCCAAATCGTGCATGTAGCCACATCGATCCACCAACGTCAAGAATGACGTGGTGTATTTGGACACAGATCCCAGCTACTTCCACATGCGTAGAGTCTCGCGCGCTTTGTCTGAGTCAGGAGCGTGCTCAAACCGTTTGCGAAGTTCTGCGCACCACGTTGCCCACGTGCGAATGTGGGTCGCACCAAACAGCAAATCTGCCTCGTCTTCGTCGCCAAATTCTTCGGACCACTCATGCTGTCCTTCCGTGCGAGTTGCTGCTGAGTCGACGATGACCTTCCACCACTGTAGAGCGGCCCCTTGCAATAGTGTCAACGCATGGCTGATCCGCTTCTGATCGTCTCGGATGCCTGCCGCGTTGAAATTGATATTCATGGCGAATATCCACTTCCGCACCGTCACGCCTTTATTAGCTGGGTCGAAAGGAGCGGGTTGCTGTTATCTCACGCCGCCACTTGTCGATTGCGGGGCTGTTGCTGCTAGTCGTGCCAGCTCCACTGGCGTCGGTTGCTGCTCACCCGCCTCGCTTCGTGCATCGTCGCCCGGCTCCTCTGAACGCCTTTCCTGCGTCTGGCGAAGTCCTTGGTTTTCGTCGTGGAGGTTGTTGACGACGCTTGTCAAATTGTTTAACTGCTCCATTAATGCTTGCAGGTCTACTGTTTCCCGGGCAGAGCTCGCAGCAGTCGAGGTCGTCTGTTCCTCAACCGTCGAGTCTATCGGGGCCATGGCGGTCAGGACGGGGCAGAAGCTAGCGCACACGCTGTAGTTGTTGACGTAAAAATATTTACGATCAAAGACAACTGCTGTGCAGCCGTGCTAATCCCCTCTGACCAACCTTAACTAAATTAACGGGAAAACGGAAGGTTCCTGCAAAGTTCGGGCTCTGATACCAGCTGTTATGAAATAGGAAGTGTCAATGTACTATAACGTGAGAATACAAGGTCGCTGTTGCAATGAAGGCACGAGGTTATATAGGAGTAGGCGTACTAGGCCGATAATCTCGGAACGTGGTTAGGTTTGGCAATGTGGCGACAGTGCCGGACGCGACTCGGAAAAGGGTTGGGCCGATAATTGAGGCCGAACGTGACGAGTCGAGGAATTCGGGTGTACGCGCTAGCGTACGACGCAGTAAGGAATGGAAATTCCTTACATACATGAATTATAACTCGATATAGTGCAGAATACTATAGGGGAACGTGATTACAGAGTTCACGATAGAAATGAGGCCTAGGCAATATGTAGGGCGATTGACCAGGGTTGAATGTCGAAGGTTGGACCAGTCAAGGGCTCGATAGACTCGAGGGTGACGGGGTCAAAATGGGTTCGGGGCGACTCGGGATAAGGTTGGGGCCAAAAATGTCGGGGGGGGGGGGCTGGTTTGGCAAGAGACTTGAGGGCCGAGCCAGCGGACGCAAACTGTTCGCGTGTACTCGCTGTGGCGAGCCCGAGTAAGGAATCGTAATTCCTTATACTCTCCCACCTTCTAAAGGAAGGCACTCCTTTTATCGAGGCCAAACAGTCATTACAAGTAATCCCCGATGTGACCGTAAGTCTTCAGCCCTGTGACGAGAGTAATGATTACGCCGGCTTGACGAGGTCTTGAAGTCGAACTGAAATCGATGGTCAGAAAGCGTCGAAACGATCGCTTTTAATCTCAGCCGTCGAAGTTGGTCGAATTCTTATGCTGACCAAACGGGCAAGGATAAATACTCCAGGGATGACGGTAAACAGTGAAACTGTCGAGTGTTGGCGCGTGGCAGATGAACATCTTGGAATGATGACTGGCGGATAACGTGATGGTCGATGATATGAAGAACACGTTCATCAAACGCGAGGTCTTTTGAGTCACATGCGAGAGCACGCGTCCGTGTCCCACGAAAGTCAGCAAACTCCATCAACGAAAGGAAGAAATTATATGCGAAAGCGTAACGGTGACGAATGTTGCTCGAAGATGGATGATGGAACACGCCGAAAGGGTCAGACGAAATCTGCAGCGTAGCTGCCCTTCTCCCTCCTCTAAGAAGAATCAGCTCCCAAAAGCTCGGGTAAAACCCCAAGAAACCTAACGCTCCAGGGTACGCGAGATACCTATCTGCTGCTTAAAACCACAGGCTAAAGAAGCACACATTGGGCACTCTTGGAAACTTATTTTTTTGGGGGTCAGAATAAACGACCCACACTGGAGCACCTTGTACCAAACGAAATGGAAAAACGTGTTTTGCGACAGTTTGAGAGGGCCACGACGTACCTTGCGAGTACACGACTTCGACGGAACATGGTGCGACAAGCACAAAAGTCGCACAACTCAACCAAATTGGTCGAGTGCGACCACAACCCAGGAACTCGTCGTTCAAGAGCTCCATGGGTGTGCATCACTTTTCCAGAAGCAGATTACCTCATAGTCAATCAAGCTTAGGAAACCTTAGCTGCCACTACACAGGTCATTACAAAAATCCGTCGGCGCATCGACGTACAACTCTCCCCACTACGGGGAAAAGGTTTTATCCGGTTTTTTAAAAGGCGACCTCTGGCGTAGTACCGTCCCCGCAGAGGAACGACCTTGGATTGGCGAAAATGACACAGTGCGCGCCGTAGTTTGCGAAGCGAAGCTTCGGTAAGACCCGCCATTAGACATCGTGACTAAACGTGACATCTAGCCTAGGCCCGACCACTCTTTGCCTAAGCCAAAACGCCCCCCTGCACCAAAAACTCCGACGAGGAGGGCGCGGATAGCGAGGAGAGGGGAACGGATGGCGAGGAGAGGGGGAAGGGATGGCGAGGAGAGGGGGAAGGGAAGGCGAGAGGGGGAACGGATGGCAAGGAGAGGGGGAACGGAGTCTCGTGAGGATGACCCGAGTGGATGAGGGGTAATCGAGCGCGAGGAGAGGAGAGGGTGTGGAACGGATGGGAGGCCCGGGAGTTGGATGCGAGGGTGAGTAAAGGGCAAGAAGAGTGGGAATGCCGTGATCCTGCTGCCCCCCTGCTCTCTGCTGTCCCCCTGCTCTCTGCTGCCCCCTGCTATCTGCTATCCCCCTGCTCTCTGCTGTCCCCCTGCGCTCTGCTGTCCCCCTGCTGCCCCCCTGCTCTCTGCTGTCCCCCTGCTCTCTGCTGCCCCCCTGCTCTCTGCTGCCCCCCTGCTCTCTGCTGCCCCCTGCTCTCTTCTGCCCCCCTGCTCTCTGCTGTCCCCCTGCTCTCTGCTGTCCCCCTGCTGTCCCCCTGCTGTCCCCCTGCTTTCCCACTGCTGTCTCCCTGCTCTCTGCTGCCCCCCCTCTCTGCTATCCCCCTGCTGTCCCACTGCTGTCCCCTGTCCCCCTGCGCTCTGCTGTCCCCCTGCTGTCCTCCTGCTCTCTGCTGTACCACTGCTGTCTCCCTGCTCTCTGCTGTCCCCCTGTTCTCTCCTGCCCCCCCCCCTCTCTGCTGTCCCCCCATTCTCACCTGTGCCATGTCCCCTTGTCGTCGATGCAAAGACTTTTGCTCTACCTCTCTCTCCTCTCCCATCCTTTCCTCCATCCTCCCTCCCCTCTCTCTCTTCCCTGTCAAGCCTTTCCCCTACCCTCTACCCTTTGCCATGTCATGTCACCTTCGCTCCCATGCCCTCGCCAGTTTTGTCATCCGTATTTCCTGTCTCTCAACCACTTTTCCCTTCCTCCCCCTGTCATCACGTCTCTCTCCCCTGCTGACTCCCCTCCCCTCCCGCCGCCAAACCTCCATACACCCCTGAACCTGCACACCACTCCCCTTATCCACGCCTCGCTTCTCCACCCCGCCCCGCGCCTGTGTGTCTCCCTTTTGGACTTGACTCAACAGCTGTCCCCCTCCCCTGCTGCAATCATGACACCTGGCATTCATCCCGCCCCTGCTGTGGCAACAGCTGCAGTGCTTGCAAACAGCATTTCAGAAGCAGAGAAGGGCATTCTCGGGCGGGACCAAGGGCCGAAAAATGCAGAGGTGGGGGATCAGAGTGGGAGGGGGGGAAGGGGACGGGGGGGCACGCATGGGGAAGCAAGTATCTGGAGCGGCCAGAGTGTGCAAGCCGGAGGTGGTGTGACAGGCATGGAGACACACATGGTTGGTTTGGCAATGGCAGCTGAAGCCAAAGGCTATGCCAGCGCCAATGCTGCAATAATATCTGCTGCCACCAGTGCTATACTTCTGCAATAAACCGCCACCTTGTTTCTCTCTAAGGAAGCCAGAGAGGTGCAAAATGCATTTTGCATATTAGTCCATTGTGATGATGATGTTATTTAATAATGATTTTCCTATACAGGGCTTATCTTTGGTTTTTCACCACTCTGATTTTCACGAGTGACTCCTGGCCAAACTCTGATTTTCAGAGTGCCCTGGAGCTCGAACTCTGATTTGTCAGGGTTTTTTCACACTTTTCAAATAAAAACTCTGATGCCCAGGATTCACTCCCCACGACTATTTCGCAACGTGGTGCTTTATCCCAGAAGACTGCCAAATTGCACCATACTTTTTTTCTAGGTGCGTGCCATATACACAACCCCTACAATTCCGTGCCCAAGACTTGTGCTAAATGAACGCTGAAAAGTGTAGCTTTATAGAGATTTGGGCCGAAATCTGCCCAGTACAGTCGGCTGGAAACTGGGATGTCTCGGCCGGGTTCTGCCAAAAAAATCATCCAGGCTCTGCTCCGAAATACTTCGACTGGGCACGTTCCGTACTCGGGGAGTCCCTAGGCAGGACTTCGGGGCATCAGTTTGACGGACCAGATGACCCAAAGTGCTGGCTTAGGGGATCTCGCCGTACCTATATTTGATGCCCCGAATTCTTCCCTTGGGGCTCGCCTCAGGTACAAAACGCGTCCTCAGTCAGCACTGCATCTCGCGCTGGCAGGCATTTCGCGTGAGAATAACAACAGCCAATCTTGTCTGCCTGTGAGTGAAGTACAGAAACAATACGCCAGTGATTGGCTGGCGCATGTGCTGTACCAATCGCCTTTGCTGCAATGTTTACGTGTCAACCCCGTGCCAAGTTACACACGTGAAATGTAGCATGATTGACGGTAAGGGCTAGTCAAACAGCACTGAACACAGCTGGGCTAGGTTGGGTTGGGTGTGGGAAGGAGGAATGTGCCTGGGTTGCGTGGGGTATAAGTGTGTTGTGACTGGTTACAGAGGACTTCGCCGAAATTTTCCAGGTTACGGCGGGTAGGAGGCGGGATGTGACCAGTTGCGAAGGACTTAGTCAAAATTATCCAGGGTACGTGGGGTATGGGAGGGGTGTGACTAGCAGTCGGAGGACTTAGCCGAATACCGAGAGAACTGGGGAAAATCTAGGAGCATCCCCCCCATTGAAAACTCTTCAGGGTGGTACATAGGCCAACTCTGATAAATCAGAGAAAACCTAAACTTTCAAAATTTTACCCAGGACCATCAGAGTGGTTTTCAAAATGACTCTGATTTTCAGAGAATCGGAGTGATTTACTCTGATAAAATAAGCCCTGGTTACATACCATGTATACTGTTCAAATGAGTGTCGAGGTTCCACAAGGCCTTTTGAAGTCATCCAGATTGGAACCCCATTCTCACGCCACGCTTATTGGCGGAGGTAGTCCCCTTCTATGCATGCTTCGTCGGAGTCTCCCCAATTCGCGTAACATGAATAATTTTTTAGGAATAAAAAATTAACAGATTGTGATTCGATCTGAAGAGGAGTTTTGCTGTAAAGGAGACAAGCTCCTTCACATTCTCGCAGGTCCGATGGACCTGCCACCTAGTCTCATTCTCATTTCTCTTCTCTGATTGCTTACTACCATCATCACACTCTAAACCCCTCCTATGCCCCGACCTGGGCATAGGAGCATGCTAATTGAGGACGTGATTGCTGCACGTTTTTCTACCATGACTGGAGGAATTGTTTCTGCTGCAACCGGTCGTCCTCCTGTCTCAAGAATGAATTTAAGGAGCAATGGACGATGTGGATCCCCTGTGCGTGAGGGAAGTCAAGATTCTTCTACTCACCGTGATTGTTCCCGCTCTCCACGCAACAGAAACGCATCTGTTACTGCCTTGGATCTGCTGAATGGCGCTCGGCGAAACCCCGTTCAGCAACCCGGATTGGCTCCTGTCGGAGATCGTAACGCTTCTGACGGTCGCGATTTCCCCCCCGGGTTTCGCGGCGAGCGGCATGAAGAACGTGAACGTGTCGACTTGAACCCGCCAGGAGAAAACGCCCCGACACCCGTGGAACAGTTGCGTGCGGCACCCCTCGGCCGCAATCATGACGGTCCTGGGCGCGCAGGTCGAAATGATGGGCAGAATCCTGAGCGTGACCAGACGCGTCAGGACCTGGGTCGTCAGAATCTTGACCAGCGCGCAAATCGCCATGAGCGCCAGGATCGTGGCGATCGCCAGAATCTGGACGTCCAAGCCGATTTGGAATCTCGCCCGACGAATCAGCGCGCACAGCAGGATCCTGTCATCATCGCCAATGGATCTGCAAATTTCGCCGAAATGATGGCGCGTGTGGACCCCGCCACCCAGCGAAATTTCCAGCGGGTGCTGCAATTGGTGAACGCGTTACAGCGCGCTCCTCTGCTTCTACAGCGCCCCGATCTGCAGAACACATTCCTGCTCGTTACAACAACAACGACAACGCTAATAATGACGCAATTCATCACGTCATCGGTCTTCTCGCGGCCCTTCAGCGCGGACAATCCGGTGATCCAGCACCACCCCCTGCACCTGCTCGACCTGTGGCAGCAGCAGTGCCACGCTCCCGCCCTCCTCCCGTCGCGGCCGAACCCGAGGGCGATGGCGCGGACGACGACGCGCCCATGGAAACCCTCGACGAAGGTAACGCCGCTCGTCTCAAGTCCGGTTCTACCGCCCCGAATCTTGCTCCTATCCCTCCTGCACGTCCTAAGTTGCGTTCTTCTTTGGTAAAAAGTGACGGCATTCGAACCCAACTTTTTAGTTTCGAGCGTATCCAGGCTGTTGCTCGGCACGCGCTCTCCGCTTTGCCCCCTAGTGGTGGCGAGTTAGCCGCCGACTATCTCCAGCAGATAGTCGAGGAGGCGGAGGAAAAGATTCATTTCTTATTCACCGCAGATCAATGCGGTTTTGAAGTGGCCAATATGGCCCTAAAGATTAAATATGGGGAGGTGGTGGAAGATAAAAACGTTAAGGCCGCCACACAAATTGTGGCGGCCAGCAAAAAGAGACCTACTAGACCCACCACCTCAACATCCCGCACCGATCCCCCCCCTCGTAGTAGGGGTGAAGACGCACGTACTTGGAATACGTGGCGTCGGGATGGCGACGGTCGATGCTTTTATTGTCGCGAACCCGGTCATGGGTTTAAAGATTGTCCTCGCCGAGGCCAAGGGGCCAACGGGCCGGCTAAGATTGTCTAGAGGCTTTGATGGCCGATTCTTTGTAAAACCTTGATGCTGTAAATCTATTATTTCATGTTAAAGATTGATGTTGTGCCAATTGGTGATCGAGCATGCGGGTCAAATCCGCTTCGAATATAGCACGGCAATATGCTATTCAATATTTGCGTTTAAAAAAAAAAAAACAACAACAACAACAACAACAACTACAACCCCAAAAAAGGGAGTAGGGGGAAGCATGAGAACGGCAGAAGTGCCGGAAAAGAAAGGCAGTCCAAAAGGTACAAAACGCATGTGGAACATTGGAACACGCACCTCCGACCGATGAAAGCATGACAAAGATTGTAACATTGCTAGTGCGCACACTGCGAAAAGTGTTGCCTTCATTCTTGCGTTCGCTTCGACTATTTCGAGCACACTTCTCACGCTACGCATGCTTCAGCAAACGTATTTGTACAGTCAAGAACGATAACTTACATTCGGCCCTTGCAGCTTTTTTATTGTACTTGTTCGTCACCGCCCCTCACCAGAGCTTGGCTCCTTCGCCGTACATGTTGCCACATCGGGTGATACAATCCGTATGCGAGGACGCCTGCGTGCCTGCTTTGCATGGTGGTCCGGTTGGTGCGATAGCCGCTTCATGCTATCGGTCCTCGCGTCAGGCTACCGCCTTCCCTGGGCTTCTTCAGAGCCTACAGTGCGGCATGCCTCAAACCATGCCGAGGCACTCCAATTCCACACATTCGCGGTGGAGGCGGTGGACGAGCTCCTTGCTACGGGAGCGGCCCGGCTCGTTCCTCCATCGGAGCCACTCACATGCATCAGCCCGCTTAACGTAGTCGTCCAACCTTCCAAAAAGAGGCTCATATTGGACCTCCGCCACGTGAATTCATTTCTTTCCGTCCCCCGTTTTCGCTACGAGGGCTTGAATCGGGTGCCCGACTTGGTGCAGCAAGACGATTGGCTATTCACCATCGATCTAAAATCCGGCTACCACCATGTGGATATCCATCCCTCGTATTGGCGCTTCCTTGGTTTTACACTCCAAGGGCAGCGCTACCAGTTTCTATCATTGCCTTTTGGTCTAGCTACTGCGCCGTTCGTTTTTACTCAGCTGATCAAGCGGCTCGCAAAACGCTGGCGCGGACGCGGCATCCGACTTATCCCATACGTCGATGACATTTTGTTCATCAACGCTACTCGAGCCGAGGCCCTTTGCCACCGTGCCGTCATTTTAGCGGATCCTCAGTCAGCTGGCTTGGCTGTCAACTTCAAGAAGTCGCAGCTCGAACCAACCCAGTGCCTTAAGTTTTTGGGCCTCCTACTCGACACTCGCACCACGTCTTTCTCCGTCGATGACGGCAAACGCGAGCGACTCTTCGCCGAACTTGAGCATACATGTGCACTTAGCGCGCAAGGGCGGCCTATCCCAGTCCGTCGGGCCGCTCGCATCACTGGCTTGCTAGCCTCCATGGCGCTCGCAATTGGCACGGTCGCGCATGCCTTCTCCCACAATCTTCTTTCTCAGATCTCTGAGTGTCACTCTTGGGGGGCGTCAATTCTCTTGACACCCAATTCTCTCAACGAGTTGCGTTTCTGGCTCACCCAGTTTGATGTCTTCAATGGATCGCGCTTCCACAATCCTCATCTCTACGACGTCGTGATGTATGTGGATGCCAGTGATCGCGCATGGGGCGCATGTTTTTCAGCGCCGGTCGGCGACGCTGGTTCGCATGCTTCACCACTCCCCTGGGCCCTCATCTCTTCATCCAGCACGCTCCGCGAACTTGCTAGCATCCTTTGGGCACTGTCAACCTTTCTTGACAAGGTCCGACGCTCGCACGTCCTGCTCCGCAGTGACAGCCAAGCGGCCTATTACATTATGAAAAAGGGGGGTTCCCGCCGGCTT